TCTGTCCCCCCCCCCCAGACCCCCAGGAGAGGAGCAAGAGGACGAGACAAGTGAAAGATGCTGTGGCAGGGACAAGCAGCAGCAAAACCACCCCCCCAGCCCTTCTGTCCCCGCTCTGAGATGGGTATGGGGGCTGCGACACTGGGGATGAGCACACCACTGACACACCCGGGGGGACATGGTGCTGCTGGTGGCACCCAGCGCTGCTCACCTGGTAGCTGGAGAGGACCAGCTGCTTCTGCAGCTTCTCTAGCTGCTGCTTCAGCTCTTCCTTCTCCTCGTTCATCCTCTCCCTGTCACTCCGCTCCCGCTGGAAGTCCTCCTCAAAAATTTTCACCTGGCAGGAGGGAGGGATATGGGTGCACCTGGCCAAGGGTGGGCAGCTCCCTCGAGCACCCCCTGTCACTGCGTTGCCATCCCTGACCACACCAGCTGCGCCAAGCCCCAGGCATGTGGGTTGGCACAGTGGCCCGCAGCTGTGGTCCCTCCAGCTGTATGCCTGGAGGATGATGAGTTTGGTCCCCTGCTCACCACCACCATGGCACAGACACCCACTAGGACTGCTGGGCTGCTCCCAGCCACACCATGCTCTTTGCCAGGGAGGTCCAGGGAATGTAGCTCCCTCCCTGCCTCCAGCAGCTTCATGTCTCGCCCTACCTGCTGCTTGAGGAGCTCATTCTGGGTCAGCAGCTCCTGCTGTGGCATCTTCCCCACCGGCTCCATGGTGCTGGCAAAGATGGGTGGCGGGGAGGCCTGGACGTTCAGGGCCTCCTCTAGCGCCTGCAGAGGAAGAGGAGGAGCAGGGAGGGGGGGTCAGAGCAAGGTGCTGTGCCCATGGCATCTCCAGAGGGTCATGGGCACATGCCCAGCAAGGGAAGCAGGTATAGCTGGGCAAGAGCAAGAGGCACTACAGACCCTCCCATCCCCCCTTTCCTAGGAGCCCAAGCAGATGTGGTGGGCATCGTCTGACACAACCTCCTGCCTGGGCAAGGAGCTGGGCAGGAGGGGCTTGATCAGGGTCAGTTTTGGATTTGAGAGAGGACAGAGAACATAAAAGACATTTTGCAGGGAAGGGTTTTGCCCTGGCCCCCACCTTGTTCAGCCTCTGGATCTCCTTCTCCTGGTACTCCCGCTGCCTGGTGACCGGAGCCAGCTGCTCCTGCAGGAACCGCATCCTCTGCTGCAGGTCCCTGACCTCCATGGCCAACCTCTCCTTCTCTGCCTGCAGGATCCAGGGCACGGAGATCAGCCAGGGCAGGGCTGCGGGGCCAGCAGCTCCCTGCTGCCCTTCCCAAGGGACTCACCTCCTCCGTTTCAATCCGGGACTTGGCCAGGAGCAGCTTGCGGTCAAAATCCCGTTGCTTTTGCTCTCGCTCTGACTCCAGCTCAGTCAGTGCCCTACGGGCCTCGGCCAGCTCCTGGTGCAAGTCTGTGACCTGCCGGGAGGGAGTGGGGACGTTGGCCTGCCTGGAAGGACCCACACTGGGGGGGAAGGAGGCACAGGCAGCCCCAAAACCTCCCCCTACAGCTGGTCTCCTCCAAGTCTCCCAGCACCCAGAAGAGACGTGCCCCTTGAGCACCCAGCTCTGAGCACCAAGCCTTACCTTCTGCTCATACTTCTGCTTGGTGGCTCGGAAGTGCTGATCCCATTGCTTATTCACCTCCAGCAGCTGCAGGGAGAGAGGGGCAGCTGAACAGGAGCCCAACCCCTGCCCCGAGCCAGCCATGGTGCTCCTCAGCAGCCTCCCATCATGAAAGCCCCTCGGGGCTCAGCTGGGTAGAGATCCCGGCTCCAGCAGTGCTTCCCTGGGGCTCCGCAGCC